TGCCCCCGGTATCTGGAACCTGAGCCCCCCTCCCCCCGCCCTCCGCTCGACCGACCTCTCGGAAAGACCCCCAAGCTGACCGCCCCTCCTCTCCCCTTGCTCTCCCGCAGCACGCCTTCCACTTCCACTGCATCTCGCGCTGGCTGAAGACGCGACAGGTCTGCCCCCTGGACAACCGGGAGTGGGAGTTCCAGAAGTGAGTAGCTCCCCTGGAGTGTCCTGCCAGGATAGACAGGATCCCCTGCCGGGCATCCCTGCCTGGATAGACAGATACTTTATTGATCCCGTGAGGGAAACTGCAGTGCAACAGCAGCTTAACACAGAAACAGTGTAACGAATGATACAATAATAATAATACAGTACAATCAGTACAGTGAGAAGGGCACCAAGAAGAGTTACTCACAGTCCAGAACACACAAAGAACAGAACAGGGCTCTCTCCTTCCTGCTCATACTAAAATAGTTTAAAATATGCTTTGGCACCAGGATGGAGTTTTTAGATGCTGAGGGCTGTAGGAGTGTTGTATACAGGCTGGTGAGGTGTGAGGGGGAGGAGGAGTGGGGAGAGATGGAGGGATTGGCTGGGGGGGGGGGGGGGTGGGGACTGGGAGAGCACGGCACAGATGGAGGGGAAAGGTCTCTGCTCTCTGCACAGTCCTGCACGCTGTCGGTCAGCTGGCTGAGGGGCTTCGCTCGGACCTGCAGGTTCCCTCCCCAGCTGTCCGGCTGTTCTTGTCACACTTGAATCTATCATGTAGGAAAACCCTCTCTCGGCAGTTCTGTCAAGTTTTGAGTCACTCTCTAAAGTTGGGAAAACTCTGCACCGGAGATAGGAGCTACACCCTCCCAGAGAGATCCACTGAGGGAGGGGGGCCACTCTACAGAGCTCACCTGAGAGAGGCAGGACTGATCCATTTCCCGTTGAACAGGGGGTCTACAGTACAGAGCTCACCTGAGAGGAGAGGGACTGGTCCATTCAGTATTGGGGCGGGGGGGTCCACTGGACAGAGCTCACTTGAAAGAGGAGGGACACATCCATTCCCAAAGCAGTGGGCCAGGCTGCTGTGCATCAGGAGCCTGACTGAAAACATTCTAAAACCCAGAGTAGATCAGGCTGCTGTGAAGCAGGAATGTAATTGTCATTCCTGTAAATGTTACACATTGCTTTTTCTGGGGGATTGTTTTGTTATCCTGTTCGGCTGTTTTTATTTGTGTTCAAACTGTTTCCACAATAAAGTGAAACAAAAACCTTTTATTGCAGCAGGAGTTACTTTTAGCTTGTTCATGTGTGTACAATATTGTTTGATTATAATGTTACAGTTTGGGATGTAAGTGTTAGGACTTTTTGTTCTAGATTGTTCTGATTAAAATGATGGGCTGAATTGTCACCTCTTATTTATAATGTTTTAATGTCTTTAAAGTTTCTATAGATTTAAACAATTATTAGTGTTTGTATAGCACTTTGTATCCCAAAACTCTCCACATTAAAGGAGGAATTCACTAAATCCTCTGCATCATGATGAAGGAGTGTTCATGTGAAGATACAGAGGAGCTGGACTGAGTGTCTGTACAGTTACTCTATAACTCTGATGATGATGAAGGAGTGTTAATGTGAAGATACAGAGGAGCTGGACTGAGTGTCTCTATACTCTTCTCAGTATACTAGAACTGCAAGTCCCAGCATGCGTCTGTTCAGCGCATGTGCAGTTGCCTAACGGTCTTTGCATGGGCTGAGGAATGAACAAAGCGCACCGCAGTTTGCGTGATTTTGCTGGTTTACATCCATTCGCGTTTACGATTTATTTTCTTCCTGGAAGTTGTGCTTCAGTTTTAAAATGACATTTTTAAACAAGACTACAGAAAGTTAATTCTAATAATTTGTGAAAGTCAGGGTTACACTCCCGCTACCCACGAGGAGCTCCGTTTACCGGACATAGTAACTACCTGACAACGCCCCTGTTAGAGCCCGGATCTTCTCCCGCCTGTGAATGGTCCCCGCATTAGTCGATCAAAAAGAGTTCGCAGCATCGTTGGATCGTGCTGGTGTCAATCATCTTCTCATTTATCTGATTGGCGGATACGTCTATGGGGTCCCGCCTATCCTCCAAGAATTAACCGGCCTAAGTATTTTTCCTACTCAGGCGTTCGCCTCTGGATTCTGTCCTTCTGATTGGTTAAGGCAGCTGCACGTCAAGTTAACTGGGGTTGTAATTGGCTGGATTCTCCCCCAGAGCCCCTCCCTCTCCGCACGCTCTGTCTCTCGCTCAGTGCAGAAGGTTCCAGTCGGTTGTCAAGACTCACGCCGCAACGATGATGGGCAGACCGGTTCTAGTTTTGAGTGAGTATTCAATAAAATCATAATGAAGCGTTTTATGATTACAGGGCGGTGATGAACGCAGATCTGTCGCCCGGTGCTGGTGTTATTGTAGCCGGTTAAAACCCCGTCTCTTTTCCCGTGACGGAGTAGGGTTTCGGGCTGCGCCTCGGCCTGTGGCTGTGTTCACCGTTTCCCCCTCAAAAAAAATTATCCCCAGTTCTCGGGTTAACGGCAAACACGGAGTCCCGTCCAAAGACTTGACGAGCCCGACCGGCCTGCGTGTCGTGAGGGCGGTTTTGTAGTATCGAGCCCCGTGGGCTGACGTTAAAAAAAAATATATATATATAAGGTCGTTTGGCTTTTTCCGCAATGCACATCCTCAAAATCCCGGAGTTTGCCAAGTCATTCCGTGTAAATCCACTGGCTGGAGCTCGGATGGTCTGCGGGTCCTCGGGGGCCTGACGGCCACGCTCGGCCGAGTGAGCGGCGCGATTTCCAGGCGGGGACGAGTGTGAATTGGTCGGTATTGGATTCCTCTCGGGAGGGTCTTCATGCTGCTTCAGTATTTAGTAACATTAACCTCTTGCCTTCTGCCGAGCGTGGTCCTGCGCTCCCTATTCCCCGGGGGCTGAGACGATACCGTTGAACTGACCCGGTTTTCTCAGGAAAGACGCGGTTTCAGTTTTTAAACCCCTTTTTTTAAACCTAATCTTCCTTCTGTTAGGTCAGAACACCAAGAGGGAGTCGGGCCGAAAGGTCCAGACGGGCAACATCACTGCCGCGAAGGTAAGAGTCGGGTTCAGCCCGGAGGTGGGGAGCCGGTTCTGTTCGGGAGGGCTCGGTGCCGAGCTGGTCCACCGTTAACCCGTTTCGTTCCGGTGTCGTTTGCAGACCATAGCGGACGTGATACGGACCTGCCTGGGCCCGCGAGCCATGATGAAGGTAAGGAGGAATTGGGGCGTCCGGCTTTAAAACGAGTTTTACAAACGAGAGGGGTCGGTCTGTTTCACGTGGTTAAGTGATCCCAGGATCTCATCTAGTCCCGTCTGGAAAGAAACCGGCGTCTCGGCTTCAACAGCAAGGCTGGTTGGGCTGTTCCAGACACTCGCCACTCTTTGCGTAGAAGAGGGCCTCCTGGTATCAGTTGTGCTGAGCCTGGAGTGAGGGTCCTGATGCTGGCAGTGTGAAGTTATCCAGTCCCTCCTGCCTTGCGTGCCCTGCTGTGGGGCGTGTAGATGGGGGTGTGTGTGTGTGTGTGTGGGGAGTCTCTGCGCAGGGCCGTGACTGTGTCGTCCCCCCCCCTCTCTCTGCAGATGCTGCTGGACCCCATGGGGGGGATTGTGATGACCAATGATGGCAACGCCATCCTGCGAGAGGTAAGAGCCCCCTCTTCCCCTTCGGGGCGGGGCGGGTCTCGCGCTGCAGGGAGCGTCGCGGTGCTCCACGCAGAAGCACAGCCGTGGCCCGCTCACCAGAGGAGCCGCCCAGCCCCCTCAGCCCGGTTCTTAACGAGTACAGGACTGAGCCAGAGCTCTCGGCCAGCCGGACATCGGGGAATCGTCTTCCATCACAATGGCTGGGCAGCTCGTCCCACGCTCCCGCAATCCTCTGTGTAAAGCAGCCCTGGGTTTGAATGCCCTTCCTTGTAGTTTCCACTCGTGCCCTCTGGTTTGAGATTCTGCATTCGTTCTTAAGGGGTCTGCAAGGTTGGCGCTGTCCGTTCTCTTGGGGGTTTTGATTGTGTGACTTCGGGCCCCTTGTCGTGTTCTCTGGACTAAAGAGATTCAGTTCCTTCAGCCGTAAGGTGGCGTTTGTGCGGGGGGGGTTATGTTTGCGTGCGTTTGAAGTCCAGTTACCGCGCCCATGCCTCTGCCCGTCCCGTAACAACCCGTCCCCTCTCCACGCAGATCCAGGTGCAGCACCCTGCTGCCAAGTCGATGATCGAGATCAGCCGCACGCAGGACGAGGAGGTGGGAGACGGGACCACATCGGTCATCATCCTCGGTAAGACCCTCGGGGTAGCCCCGCGCCACGACTGCAGGGCAGAGACACCCTGAACATAAAAAGCCATTTCACCCATCCAGCCTGTTCGTTAGTTAACTAATTGATCTGATCTTCAACAACATGGCTGTGCAGCCGGTTCTACACTCCCACAACTCCTTTCAGCAAAGTAGTGCCTCTATATTTCAGTTTTCAGTCAGCCTTCCTGGAGTTTCTGCTTGTGTCTTCAGCTTTTTTGTTTCTAAAGTCCTTTACCTTTCATTCTGAAGGAGTCCTCTAGGTTTAGTGTCGGTGTCTGTGAGGATTTTGAATGCTTGTATGAGGTCCCCCCATAGTCTTCTCGGATAGAGACCTAAAAGACTCAGTTCCTCCAACCTGTCAGTATGGGACGCTCCCTTCAGACTGAAGAGACTCCGTGACCAGAATTGTACTCGGTTTTCTAAATGTGGCCTTACTAGTGTGTTATATAGGTAGCATTTTTCAACATTGATTTTAATGCTATAAGTGTCTCACCTGGGACTTGAGCCCAGGACCCCTGAGTGCTGCTCCACACTGCTGTGCAGCTGTCATTGTCCTGTTCCAACGCTTCTTGTCGTGTGTCCCAGCCGGAGAGATGCTGTCCGTGGCGGAGCAGTTCCTGGAGCAGCAGATGCACCCCACGGTGGTGATCGGAGCCTACAGACAGGCCCTAGACGACATGATGACCGCGCTCAAGGACATCAGGTACGGCCTGCGCCCCCCGTTGTCCTGTCCTGCACAGAGCCCCGGTTATTATCATAAAAAAACTTTATATAGCGCCTTTAAAGGTGGCTTCTCCAAGTGCTTTACAGAATGACAACAGCAAAATACACAAGATAAGCCCAATGAAAATATGCAATGAGAGGAGACAGTAGAGGGGGGGGACTGAATACGGTAGGAGCAGGGGGGTAAATAACAGAACCAGACAAGTAAAGGTCCTAAAGAAGGCGGCTTTGAGTCCAGATTTGGAGGAGTTTAGGAAAGGTGCCTCTCGCTTCACGGTCTTCTCCCCCTCCCAGCACACCGGTGGACGTGAACAACCGCGCGATGATGCTGAGTATCATCAACTCGGCCATCAACACCAAGGCCATCAGCCACTGGTCCGAGCTGGCCTGCGCCATCGCGCTGGACTCCGTGCGCACCGTGGAGCTGGAGGAGAACGGCCGCAAGGAGATCGACATCAAGAAGTACGCCAAGGTGGAGAAGGTGGGTGCCGCCCCTGCGCTGGGGCCCCTCGGGGTCCCCGTGACGATCGCCGCGGCTCCGCGGGGCTCCAGCTTGAAGATCAGCCGGCCACACGCAGGCGCTGGTGCAGAGAAGATGGGGGCGTTTCCTTCAGGGCACGTAGCGGGCGAGACCCGGAAAACGACGCCCTGCTGGGGCTTCCCCGTGCCTTCCTGTTGGCAGCCATGTTTAACGTCCCCCCTCCTCTCTCTCCCCGCAGATCCCGGGCGGCATCATCGAGGATTCGTGCGTCCTGCGCGGCGTGATGGTGAACAAGGACGTGACGCACCCCCGCATGCGCCGGGTGATCAAGAACCCGCGGATCATCCTGCTGGACTGCTCCCTGGAGTACAAGAAGGGGGAGAGCCAGGTGTGTGTCGAAGGAGCTCTGTCATGGACCGGGGACCAGTCTATCGCTGTGTGAAGGGGGGGGGGCTTGTTTTCATCTGTTCCCTTGGAGGTCTGGGGGCAGACAGACCCCCACTGACAGTTGGATGGGCAGAATCATTGATCTGGCGTTCTCAGTAATGGTCTTCTCTGGTGCACGACCCAAACTGACAGGGACAGTGTAGCTCATCGGAGAGGTGACTTCCCCCCCCTGCAGGAAGTGGAACAGTCCTCCTGTCCTCTACTGTCAGGAGTCAGGGCAGGTGTTGGATTTGGCTTCACCTTGTTACAGACAAGATAGCTTCTTCTGTTTGCGTATGTGTGAGCAGAGGCTCCCAACAAATCAACAACAGGTCATTTAGGTCAACTCTGGACTAGCTGGAGATGAAGATCAGAAGGGTTGAGCCAGGTTGGTTGGAAGGTTCTCCAGACCAGTGAAACCAGTCACCCCCGGCCTCATGATGGGGGGCCCAGCAGTTAGCCTGCTCTAAATGGGGACCTTGGCGTGGTGATTTCTGGAACCCCTTGCATGGGAATTGCCCCCCTGCCCTCAGGGGCCCTGGGTAGGGGAATAGACTCAGTCAGGTGTGCGTGCCCTGAGCCTGTGCTCCTGTCGTCCCTGGCCAGACGGACATCGAGATCACGCGCGAGGAGGACTTCGCCCGCATCCTGCAGCTGGAGGAGGAGTACATCCAGCAGATCTGCGAGGACATCATCCGCCTCAAGCCCGACGTGGTCTTCACCGAGAAGGGGATCTCTGGTAAGGGCATCGCCACTCCCCCTGCCTGCCTCTGCAGAGCTGCCGAGCGGCCTGCGTGCTGATGTGGCCAGGGGTCCTGCTCCTGGAGGGATGCAGTGTCTGGGGGATGTCCTTCCAGCTGAGTGCTTTTCTGATCTGCTGGCTTGGGCTGAATTGTGTTTAACTTGATTCTTTGGTCACTCGTGTCAGGAGTCCGCTACTTTAAGGCAACTATTTCCGACAGCTTGAATCGGTGACAATGTTGCCAACAACATGTTGTGAGAAGCAGCGCTGTATTCCATCTCAATTTGCATTTCCTGACATTAAACGCCGTTCTGAGCTTGCCGTTACTTCTGGTTTAACGGCGTCTGCTAGTCAGTAAGGTGATGAAGAGACACCAGTGGGGCACCAGACACTTCCACAGTGGGAATTTCTTACTCCTGGAGAGATCAACAGGGTACATCTCCAGCAGCCCACTTGAATAAGAGCAGTTCTGACAGCTGCAGGGTTGATCATTTCAAATCCTGGTTGAGCTTTTAAGAGCCGAAAGCTAATTTGGATGCAGGCCTCCGAAAGCGCAGAATCGACGAGCTTGTGATTAAGATGGCGTGACCCTGTGAGTGTACGCGCACTGAAACTCAAACTGCTGTCTCTGTCTCGTCCCAGACCTGGCCCAGCATTACCTGGTGAAGGCCAACATCACAGCCATCCGCCGCGTCCGCAAGACGGACAATAACAGAATCGCCAGGTGAGTCGGGGGTCCCGGGTGTGGGTTTGTGGCTGGAGATGGGGGTGACTTCGCAGCGTGTCCTGACCCCCCCACGTGTGCGTTCCCAGGGCGTGCGGAGCTCGGATCGCCAGCCGCACAGACGAGCTGCGGGAGGAGGACATGGGCCTGGGCGCCGGCCTCTTCGAGGTGAAGAAGATCGGGGATGAGTATTTCACCTTCATCACAGAGTGCAAGGACCCCAAGGCCTGTACCATCATCCTCCGAGGAGCCAGCAAAGAGATCTTGGCGGTGAGCGGCTTGCTGCCCTTCGTCCTGTCCAGCCCGTCTCTCTATCTGCTCCCCTTCCTGTCTCTTTCCCTAACTGCTCTCCTACCTGCCTGTCTCATACACTATTGTTATTGAGAGACAGGCTTTCTGTTCCTCAGGCTGGGACAGGAGATCACACACTGTATTATTATTATTGAGAGACAGGCTCACTGTCTGTTCCTCAGGCTGGGACAGGAGATCACAC